TCTCTCTCTCTCTCTCTCTCTCTCTCTTTCTCTCTCTCTCTCTCTCTCTCTCTCTCTCTCTCTCTCTCTCTCTCACGCAATCAATCAATGAATCAAGGCGGAACCGCTTGATTGATGACATCAAGGACATTGACGTCTCTCTCTGCCGATCTGCCAGTCATTGAGAGAGGGACACGCGGGGTGACACGGTCGCGTACTAGTTCGGTAAATTGTAATCATGCTTTCGACATAGGAGTTGTCTGGGGCTTGGCAAGACCGGGCTCTCGGGGCTGGGGGAGAGATGGAGGCATCGTTGCTCGAAGCTAACAAAGACAAGAGGCGGGATTTGTGCTCTACGAGAGAGAGAAAACGGTACGGTGACTACGGTCATGGTGATCCGTTCGTGATCCTTTGAACAGGCTCGTGATATCGCGGATCCACCAAGCGCTTTCCAGGGGACGGTAAATCGAAATGGAACGTGAGGAAGGGCAGCTAACATGGAAATTGTTTTCCTTAATTATGTGTCGAAAACGACGTAAAATCTTAGGGCGTAGTTGCCGTACTAGGAGGGCCTCCTTCGGTACGCTATGTATCATTCTGGTCACACGTGTTTAAGGTAATATAATCGCTGTGCCGTCATATAGCACTAGTGTAATAACGGAGATCGGTCGCTGACGTGTACCAAGCCTCTCTTCCTCTTCTTCCTCTTCTTCTTCTTGTTCTTCTCCTCCTTTCTGTTGTTGTACTCCTTTTTTCTTCGTGTTCGCTGCCGTTGCTGCCGCTGTTGCTGGTGGTGGCGGCGGCGGTCGTTTTCTCTTTTTTTTTTTTTTTTTTTTTTCACTATTGAAACGAGTGTCCACTTGAGGAGTAAAAGAAGGTTAATCCGGGCGTTGAGTAAAGCAGGAGAGCACGTCGGATTTCATTGACGAGAAGATTCTGTCTTTCGCTGCTTTCTTATATGAGTGGTCGCTAATGAACGTAGAGGTGGAGCGGTGGGCGGTGGGCTCTTCCGATTACAAGCTTCATCTGGTCGCGCAGGCGTGAGTAGGTCGGAAGTCGTTGGCTGGTTAATGCAAGCGCAGCAGGTTGGTGATGTGGAGATACGACGTGACGGCGGAAACAAGGGGGAGGAAGCGCTGAAGCTTCGTAGGGGGGGGTGGATATGGCGAGTCTGTAGCAAGCGCCGGGCTCGTGCTCGGGATCGAAGCGCAAGCGCAAGCGCAAGTTGGGGGAAAGCGGAAGGGAACGGCAGAGGAGGGGAATCGTGCGTGCGTGCGGGGGGTTCGCCGCCCGATATCGCGGTACGCATGTGGTGGTGAGTCGTGCGTGCGTGCCCGGTCGCGCAATAGCGGGGAACGCATGTCGTGACACTTGCACCACCTATGTATCCTCAAGTCTGGTAATCATCGAGGTTCCATGGAAATCACCGAGGTCCCATGGAAATCACCGAGGTCCCATGGAAATCATCGAGGTCCCATGGAACGCATCGATGTCTCCGATACATACTGTAAATTACTCTGTGGCGGTGGAACGCATGGATGTATGTCTTCGATACATACAGTAATACTCTCTGGTGGTTGTAGTCGTTGCAAGTCCGTCTGATCGCCATGTTTTGCGGGAAGATTTGGACAGTTCGGCGCTTGTTTGCCTTCTTTGAGGATGCGGTGCGAAGTCCGGACTCCGGAGTTCCTCGTTCTTTCCCCCTCCCTATCCCCCTTTTCCAGCTCCTCATCCTTCGTTTGTCCGTTTCCATCACCTTCAGGCTTCTGCACTGCGGACCACAATCTGTTCCTTCCGCTCTTCCGTTTGCTTGCCGGAATCGCGAGAGCTGGACGGACGGCGGAAATTCGAGACGGCAATTTTTTATTACTCTCCTCCTGGTTCCGCTCTGTAGCCCTCCCCTTTTCACTTTCTCTTCCTGCCTCCAACTTCCCTCTTCTCCGGTTCCTCTCACCATAGTGTAAGCTCTGGTTTCTCCGTGCTTCGCGATTGTTTGTCACTTTTTTGAATGCGGAGCAGACTAGCAGGCGGCCAAAAGGACAGGCTTTTGCGTCCTTTGTCGTCTTCCAGCCTACCCCACGGTAGTCCATCTCTCTCTCTCTCTCTCTCTCTCTCTCTCTCTCTCTCTCTCTCTCTCTCTCTCTCATGTCCCCCATTTTGGGTCACGTGCTCTTACTGCTTACTGTACACCTTTCTGTTTCTTTTTCAACTTGCTTCTTCTTGCGACATAAGATCGTGTTTGGTGTTGGCTGGCAGGAACGCAGAGCAGAGGCATGAGGAGGCAGAGAGCAAAAAACAGTCCGAATTAATTTATCAGTAGGGCTTTGGTTGCGGGTTTATTTATTTAGTTGAGCCTCGCATGTGCGCGCAAGCGGGCGAGCGGAAGCTACCGGCGGGTGGCTATTGGCACGCAGTGGTGCTCCCACGTCGACAAGCGGGCCAGCCGTCTGTCTCCGGCTGCGGCTTTTCGTAGTGGCCGGACCGTTAACCTCCTCCCCGCTCTGCTCCGACGGCTTCCGCTGCTCCGCATGTACAACCTTATGTTGAGCCTCGCGGGTGCGCGCAAGCGGGCGAGCAAACTCTTCCGGCCGGCTATTGGCACGTAAGTGTGGTCGCACGTCGACAAGCGGGCCAGCCGTCTGTCTGCGGCTGCTGCGGTTTTTCGTATTGGCCGGACCGTTAACAACCTCCGCTCTGCTCCAGTGGCTTCCGCGTATGCAACCTTATATAATTATAATACATTCCCCCCCCGCCCCCCAGCATCCTTCCTTCCATCCATCCGTCCATCCATCCATTGATTAGCTGTAGTAGTACTCTCTATCGAATGGCAATATGGGTCCTCCGAAGAAGTCGAAATCGATCGCCTTGCGCTGCGGTAAGTTTTTCGTCTCTTGCTGCTGCTGCACGAGCCCGGCCAACCTGCGCAAGTACCTTCAATGCGCTCCCTCTCCGCGTGTGCCGGTCCGGCCTCGGCTTGCAATCGGCATGCCCATGGCGCCGAACGGAGGTGGTCTCCAGCACAACCCAGTGGTGCGCAACCACGATCCGCGGCGGGGGAATCACAACAACGCGGGAGCAGTAGAAGGCCCTGCCAGTAGCGGCCCGGCGTTGACCAGATTCGATCTGCTGTCATTGGGCTTGGCCACGGACAACTTCTCGAAGGAAGTTGGGCGAACGCAGTTCGGCGTGGTGTACAAGGGAGTTATCGCCGATGGGTCTGTGAGGCCCATCACGGTGGCAGTCCTTCGCGGGCGGGTGTCTGCGCTGCCGGATCCTCTCACGGGGGCGATTCCCCATAGCGCGAGGCTGTCGGATGTGAGGTTTCTGTCCGGCATAGCGGAGATGGCGCGAATAAAGTCGCGCAATGTGCTGCAGCTAATCGGGTTCTGTCTGGATCATCGTTACATTCTGGTGTTTGAATACAAGCCGGCGGGGGATCTGGACTCTGCGCTGTTTAATGGTGGTGTCGGAGCGGCGGTAGATGGCTCCCTGTACGTTCCCGATACGAACCAAGAGACGTTGCTGGACTGGGAGGCAAGAGTGAGCATTGCGGACGACATCGCCAGCGGGATCAACCAGATCCACGAGTTCTGGCGTAACCGCGCGATCTGCTGTCATCTTAGCGCGAAAAACGTTCTTCTGGATGACCACCTGGTGGCCTATGTGACAGATTACGGCGTCGGCGCGCTGTGGGACTTGCTACTCCCCCTGCTTGCCCGGGAATCGCAGAGCTACGGCGTCCTCGACACCCGGTGGAGAGTATACAGCGCGCCGGAGTACTTAGCCGCAATGACGACCACATGCATGAACGAAGGAGAGCTTCAAGGCGATATAGACGGACCGGGGGGCGATTTAGCATCAGCAGCAGCAGGTAGAGCAGATGTAGGAGGAGGAGGAAGTGGAGAAGAAGAAGAAGAAGAAGGCCGCGGAAGACAAGTGAAACACGGGGAGCGAGGGGAAGGCGGCGCCAATGACGCGAACAAGAACGCTGGCGGCAACAACATGACCGGGTCCTTGTCCACAGCGGACAGCATGATCTCCGAGAAGAATGACGTCTACAGCTTCGGCATTCTCCTGCTTGAGCTAATCACAGGCAGAAGAAGCGCTTCGCTGCCATCCACTGATTTGTCAGCGTGGCCACAGTCGCCGTTGATCGTTCATCACGAGGCGAGGCGGTCCGGCATCCCCTCTCTAGCAGCGTCTCCGTTAGCGGGGCCTGCGTTGCCGACCGCTTTCCTCGCCTGCCCGTCTCCCGGACCGGTCGCTGCTGGCCAGCGTCTGTCGTTTACCCCCGGCTCGCGGTCGCCCGTATCCGATCTGAGCGCCGTCAAAGATCGCCTTCAGGTTCCTGGGACGCCCTCCAACAGCACGCGCGAGATTCACAAGCTGGCTTGGGGTTATTTACCGGACGCAGTGTCGATGTTCCTGCAGGCGGGAAGGGTCAGCCAGATCGTAGATCCTCGCTTACGTGGCAGATTCTCGCGCAGCCAGGCCGATAGACTAATTCGAATAGGACTACTCTGCTGTAACAAGAATCGTGAAGACAGGCCGCTAATCAAAGAGGTACTGCTCATGCTTGGCGGCGTCATGGCCATCCCTCTGCCGCCGTCGGCCGACGATGAGGCTATCCCCCGATCAGGCTATCTGTCACCTTCCAATTTCGACTCGTACGGTCACTCGAAGACGTGGGGCGGAAGACACAGCCAAATGCCCTCACTCCATATCGAGGAGGCCTTGCGAGAGGTGTCCTCGTTGAGGCAACAAGAAGGCTCCGCTTCTGCACCAGCTCCGTCGACCGGACAAGAAAAACCGGGCTCGGAACAAAGCTCATCGGAAACATACGTCACAGCGGAAGAAGACAACACGTCAGGCTGATGTGTATTTTTTCAACTGTATTGTTGTGATTTGGGAATGTATACTTATAAGCACTATCTTCGAGAGCGTGCAGATCTGCGAGCATGTCTGTTTTGTTGTGTAAGTGGATGGCTATCAGGGTGTTTGCGGCTGTGGTTCCGCTTCATCTTGTCCAGCAGCCGCTGCTTCTTACATTTGGGAAGACTTGCGCTCTCGTCAGGTGGGCGGAGGCATGTAGAAGAGCCAGGGGGCGGGACGAAAGGAGCTGCTGCTTTGTTATGCTGGTCTCGAATCTCGAGACGGGACCAAATGGGAAGGAGCGCAACGGAGCCAGAAGAGATGGGAAGAAATGGTTATGGTTAAACTTGCGAAGGAATGTAGAGGCAAGGTCTGTCCGGGAAAGGAAAGGACGTGAATCGTGGACGACGCGTCGGTAACGACTGGCCTCGTCACGTAATGGAGCGGCGCCCTCTCTCTCTCTCTCTCTCTCTCTCTCTCTCTCTCTCTCTCTCTCTCTCTCTCTCTCTCTCTCTCTCTCTCTCTCT